AAGATCAAGGAAAAGAGGGGGCTGCAATAAAGATTATGTACTTGTTCTTGAAGCTGACAATTCACACAGTTCTTGTAAATTAAGTTTACAGAACAAACTAACAATATATTTGAGCTACATGTATTTTGGGCAGAATGTTACCAAAGTAATTAACCCTTCAAACTGTACCATATTTAAATTATTCAACACTAACATCATTATTACAAGTAACGAACATAATTGTTACTTTTGGTCTCTCATTGCAATGGTTGAGTAGTGGTATGAGTACTGATGGGTAACAAAAGGTTAGAGCAATGCAACAAAATATAAAGTAAGAGAAAAAGTCCTTTGGTTCACACACCATTGACTTGCTGCTGGGTCTTTTGCTGTAATTAGCTAAAAATGCATCTACTTTTTCTTGGCTAATGAACAGTTCCTCTCCATGATTTGAGGACTTTCCACTAGTTCCAGCGCTGCATTTGCGGACACATCCAAACAATGCATCAACAGAGATAAATAAACTTCCCTTCTCCTACAATCAGATGCCAAAATCTTATTAGAAATGTCATGTTAAAAATATTTCTTACGCCTAAATGAATGAAAAACAATGGAATAACTCATGCTAAGACCAGCTGCCACACTATGAGGACCACTAGGAAAGATTCAAAACAATGTTTCTTGTCTAAATTATATCATTCATTATGCCAACACATATAGTAATAGTTATTTGAGATTTCTAAAGGTAAATATTACCCACTTAGACATTTCATCTGAAGGATGACTTATCACAAACCTTAGGACATGCAGGACATTCATGTTCATTCTCATACGAAGGATTGAAATGCTTCAGGTTACTCAACATGCTAGACATATACCGGAACTCACAGAAACAATCTCCAACAAGGAGCCGGTAGATGTCCTTAATCTAAAGGAAAACAAATAATTTATTTATTGTATAAATTAAGAAAATAAAAAGGAATTGATAAGCATAAGAACAAAAAAATTACTGAATGAATACTTACATAAACCTTTGAAGCAGGTGGGACCAGCCACTGCAGTGCCTGACATATTGACCTTAAAGACACTCTACATTCTAAGAAAATGTATTGGAGCAAGGCCATAAATTCAAGGTCAAAGGCTACCTGGGGCTGTTTTGGAGTAGATGGCCAGAAACCATTCCTGACCAGCGTTATGGCTTCTGGTTCATGCTCGCAACATTTGATTTTGATGGGATTCTGCTGCCCTGTATAAAGACAAACACCATAGAGTGTCCATAGTCGTATTCTTCTATAATAATATTTGTTTATTAATTCCTTTCTGTGTTGAAAAAAAACAATTAAAACACAAACAAAGACCTTCCTGGAAGAGGTAACCTAACTATTTAAATATAAGTATAAGTAAAAAGTAGTACTAGTAATTGCAGACTGGCAACCTATCTCACAATAAAGTTACATATTGCACAGCTGTTAGTTACTTACCATGCAAACCAACAGCTATAATGTCACGCACATATCCATGATCCATGTTGTGAGGTGTGGTCCATACACACTCACCAAACTGATATGGCACAAATCTTCCATCCTAAGAGCATAAAATATCCTACATGAATCAGGTGAATACAAATCACACACCATTTAAATCAGCCAACTCTTTCAAAATTGCCAAAATAAACTTTACTTTGTTCTGAGTATAGAGCAAATTATATGTATGCTTGCAAGAAAAAATTATCCTTACAGCTTTAGCTTTTTCCTCTGTATAAAAATGGGTCAGGTCTCATGGACATAATGCATATTGAAGTTGAGAAAAAACTACATCAAGTGAAGTAATTGAATAGAGGTGATATAGTTGTAAGAAAAAAAAAGATGGATGTCTCTGCAATTAAACCACAAGACAACGTACTCACAAATGAAATTGCCTAACGGCCAGAGTACACAAGAAATCGGGTTTCACAACATAATTGAAAAGGTGACTGGAGGAGATTGTCCTCCATAAATCTTCAACTCACTTTCCAAACTTCCGGGTGGTGAAGTGATCTACCGCCTGCGTGAACTAAATTGATGTGATCTGCGCATAGGAATTGCCCTGGACTGCAGTGAAGGCATCTGCCGCACGCCTCTTCTTCGCAAAAAGGAATGACACACATCTGCCCCAAAGGCAAAGCCTGTCTGGTCAACAGCGCTGAGACGAGCTGCTCTCTCGCATTGAGCCAAGACAAAGCCAGCGTGGCTTTCCTCTCATGGTAAGCTTTTAACTTGCGCTTCAGTCGCACTTTTTTACTTTTAGATCTTTGGTTGGTTCTCAAACCATGATGTTCGTCAATATGGGGAAGGTCTTCTTGGTCTGAAGAAAAACCGCCGCACGTGTTTAGAGAAGATCCGGCGACTACAGATGTTGTATCAGTTAATTGCTGGGCGGCAAATCGAACTGGAACACTAACCTTCGACTTTCTTATAGCTTTTCCTCCTTTAAAAGTAACTACATTCAAACTTTTTTTCGACCTAAAATCGCGTTTAGGAGGCATAATGGTATCCAAAGCTTTTTCAAAGCCGCGTTTCAAGGGTTCGCAGGCTATGGCACCAGGCCTTGAGTCCTTTCAGGTCTCGATAGGTAAATAGGCCCTACTTTGACCGCTTGTATGCGTTAATTTGATACTAATTAAATCCGCATGTAAGCGGTTAATTATGAGCGAATCGGGTGGAGGACGGCGACCGTGGACCGCGCGAGTACTGGTCCGAGCACGCGAGGGTTGACGTTGCCGTCCTAAACGTAAACAAACCTTACGCAATACAACGCGACATGCACAGGCCCCGAAGGAAAAATGGCAACCTTCAGGGAGGCAAGAGAGGCTCTTTTGCTTGCTAATGCCTTGGATTTGATCGCCGATGAAGAAATGCTGCTACTCTACGACGTTAACACTTCAAAGAATCTTGACATTCCTTACTGGAAGTACGAAAAATTCAATCTGGACTCTCTTTCCGACGACGAATGCAAAAGCGAATTCCGTTTCTTAAAACATGATATCTACAATCTGCTCGACGTTCTGGATCTTCCTGACAAAATTACCTGCCCAAATCGTTTTTATGTTTACAGTGATGAAGCGCTATGTTTGCTTCTGCGTCGTTTTGCCTTTCCATGCAGGTACGAAGACCTTGTTCCCCGATTTGGAAGGCCTGTACCGCAATTATGTATGGTGGTGTCTGAGATGATGGATATTCTTTATGCCCGCTTCGGACAGTTGTTTTCTGGTATTAATCAGCCATGGCTATCACAAGCAAATCTAGTTGATTTTGCAGAAGCTATCTACAATAAAGGAGCCGCCCTTGACAACTGTTGGGGATTTATAGACGGAACTGTACGACCAGTTGCTAGGCCTGGCGAAAACCAAAGAGTATTGTACAATGGCCACAAGAGAGTGCATGCGATAAAGTTTCAAAGTGTAGTTGCACCAAATGGTCTGATCGTAAACCTTTTTGGACCTGTGGAAGGATGCAGACACGACAGCGGAATGTTAGCCATGTCTGGTTTGTTGCCAATGTTAGAAGCTCACTGTATATCTCCAACAGGCCAACCGCTATGTTTATATGGTGACCCTGCATACCCCTTGAGGGTCCACCTGCAGGGTCCATTTAAGGGTGCTGCCCTAACAGCACCACAGCAACTATTTAACAAATCGATGAGTAAAGTAAGAACAGCAGTAGAGTGGGTTTTTGGTGACATTTTAGAGTACTTTTCGTTTTTAGATTTTAAAAGAAATCTTAAGGTTGGACTCAGTGCAGTAGGAAAAATGTATATCATTTGTGCCCTGTTGAGAAATGCCCACTCATGTACATATGGGTCGACAACTTCTTCTTTCTTTGGTGTTGAACCGCCTCCATTAGACCAGTACTTTATTTAAGGAAATGTTATCAGAGATTCTTGTAAGATATGGGTCAATGCGCCCAGAGGAGGGAGGGGGGGGGAGGGTACTTTGTAATATACATGATGGGGAGGTTCAAAGTACTCTTTTGGGTTGAAAATTTACCCCCACAGATTTTTTTGGTCAACAGTGAATAAGTCACATATTTTGGGGGGTTTACAGGTACACATCCCCATGTCAAATTCTTTCTGCTTCATTGAATACGTCAGTAGGTTTTTTTTGGTGTAACATTTCAAGCTCATGTATTTTTTGGGTTTCTTATAGGAAGCTCTGTCAGACACCCCTATCATGTATTCTGCAAGTATCCCCCACCCCCCAACTGGGATTGTGCTATGGCTTCATCAGTACCTGAAGCCTGCTTATCTTTACCCTGCCATTTGTTAGGAGTTTTTTTTAATTGTTGCAAATGCCTCATGGAGGGACCAGATTACATTTACAAATGACCAGGCATGCACACGATCACGACCTTTAAAAGAGTGCAAATGACCAATATGTAACCTGCAGTACAATGAAGAAAGTGTATCAGTGTATTGAAATACTTCAAGGTTATAATTACTGTTTATGGAATTGTAACCTGGTTCAATTGTAACTATCAAAATGAAATTTTGAGAAAATTGTGCCAAATAGTTTGAATTTTTGAAGCTAGCTTAAATTATGTAAAACATTTCTATTATGGTAATCATTTTCAAGTTTTCTCATTTTTTTCAGCTAATAATTATTATAACTTGTAATTTAATTGCAAAATTCTTTGTTTCAAATTGTAAGGTATTTTCATATGCATATTTTTTCTCATATTTCAAGATTAATAACAACTGAAAATTAAAACACTAATTTTGGAAGTCTCTTTTTCCAAATTCTCTGGCATGATCCACAGACATTGATTAAGACTAAAAAAAATCGATCTGACTGTTATACTTGATGAGTGTATGTGGTAATATGCCTCGTCTGTATGCAACAGGGTCTGGGTGAGAAATCCCACATCCCATCATGTTTATACATCTTTTTACCGCTTCCCGGAGAGAGGTATAAATCATGAATCCCATCAAAATATTTGGCTTCTCCTGAATCCCCTAGGGCTATATTTGGGTCAATTATCCCATATCCCAAAAATGCCCTTTATTAATGAGACCCAGCGGTATAACTAATCATTGTTGCATGCCCTGTCAAGATTTCAGTGGCTCATACAGGCTTGTGAAGGACCATTTTGGATCCTATAATCAATAGAATTGTCAGACCAATCCAGTTTTTTAAAACTTTTATCAGTTTTATGAACCTGCTCAAAATTTTTACTTGATATATATTTTCACTGTACATGTGAATTTGACAATTTAAGTTTGGGCATGCTTAAAAAATTCTGAAGTTAACTTTATAAATACTGAAAAGCAATTATAAATGCATTTTTAAAGCATTTTTCTTAACCATTAAATTTCTTGAATTAAAAGACAATTAACTCACTGTTAGTCTTATTTTGCTCTTTGTACAATGGAATAATATTAAATGTCTCAGCTGATCGATACATTGGATTATACACAATCTGTTACAGCTCACAGCAGACCATAAAAGCCAAGATAAAATTGGCAAAAATATATAATTAAGTTATATATGCATACATGTAAAAATGTAAATGTTTATATATATATATATATATATATATATATATATATATATAATAAAATGCGAATGATTTAAATAAACGTGAAACTTTGAAATCTTACAGAGTCTTAAAGAACACTTTTTACTTGGTGATTTTCTCAATAAGTGCCAAGAGCATTTGATTTTGCAGTTGCTGCTGCTGAATTTGAACTTGCATTTGTTGTTGTTGTTGTTGTTGTTGTTGCTGTTGCTGCAGTTGCTGTTGCATATACTGGAACATCTGAAGTTGTGCAGATTGTTCTTTCTTTTTTACTTCTAATTCCTCTTGTCTTAGCTCAAACTCCCGTTCTGCCTTTTCCCTCAAATACACGAGGGTTTCTGATCCTGATGATCTCTTTCTCGGTGTTGTTTGTTGCCCATCCTCAGCTGTTGCCTTTCTTTTCTGAGTCTCCCTCAGCTTCTCCATCGACCTGTTTCTCATCTCTTCTGCCTTTTTCCTTTCATTCTCCTTATTTTGGTCATTCTTCTCTGACTGTTCTCCGGCGTCTCTTTCACTTTCCTTAAACTGTTCCACTATCTGTTCCAGCAACTTGTCTGTTTCTGTCATCTCAGGGGATATCCCACTTGCTCGTTCTTCCTCAGCCATTTTGTTCTTGAATTTCTTTGAAAGTAATTGATACCTGTCCCTGACTGCTCTCTTGTTACGGAGCCGATCATGGAATAATTCTGTGGCATTTAGCCTTGCCGTAATGCCCTCCCACACTTGCCCTCTATCTCTTGTTGATGGTTTGAATTTGTAAGGCTGTGACACCACAATTTCTTGTAAAAGAAGCAGGTCACACTCCTGTGTCCACTCCATTTTAAAAAGATGCCTATTTTAGGGTATGAAATATAATCAAATAATTAATTTATTACCAAATAAAAAGAATAAAAATATTAATAAATAAGTTGGTAATAAGGTCTGAGTGGAGTACAATTCAGGGATTAAATACGGTGGTGCAGGCAGAACCAATAAAAATTGAGAATTTTGTTAGAGCTATGATTAATAAATAAATAACACATAGTAATTAAAATGTTTATGTGGCTCATGATCGTGCAGCTAAAAAATACATATATAAACACATATAAACAGTTTTTGTTAGCCTGAATGGACTTTATAAGGAGTACAGTACGACCAGTGTGAAAAGGAATATTTTAAACTTCATATGAGTGGCAGCAGCTAGCTTGCTGATACAAAGGTTTGAAATTATGAAGGCCAACAACAGAGTAGTTTTCATAATTAATCAAGTTGTAAATTACTGCACAACAGTAAAGAAACAAACTTAGACATAAAGAAAATGGGCCCCTACAAGGCGAACACTGAGTATGCTGTCCTATTTCCGGACTTCTTTTACAATCATATACACAGTTATATCATACCTTGAAACGGCACTAATACCATCTAAAATTTTATCTACCTTTATTACATGAAATTTGAATTAATGCCGCCTCGAAAGTGTCGCTAAATTAAAGTGAGTACACTGTGAAATTTTGCCATCTGTATGTCTATGGGATAAAATGTTGCCATCTGCAAAAGTTGAATGATTTTTTTAATATATATTTAAATCAAGTTATGACATTTATAATTTTATCAAATACATTTTCGCATCAAATAAGCTTAAATATTTTGAATTCGCAAAAGTTTCAGTTCGTGAAATCGCTAAAACTAAGTGACTTATGTTCCAAAATTTTACGAAAAATCGCTAAATTAAAGTGTCGCTAAATGGGAAATTTTCAAAATCGCTAAATTAACATGTCGCTAACATTTCATGCAATAAGGTATACGATTTAAAATTTAATCTATATCTATCTTTATTATAAATTTTGTTACTTTCACTGCAACAAGGGCCGTGAATTTTTATTGCATAAAGACGGCTCCGGCTCTTAGTTTTTATCCGTAATTACGATGAGAGTTAGTCAAGAAGTTGTCACTTTACTAAACTGCCAACAGAGAAAACCTTAAATGCTTACAA